GTCTTACTCTTTTGTTAAAATCTCCCTGGGATGGAGCCCCAGCAACTTCTGAAGAAGTCGATTGCTCCACTGGTCCATTGTTCTGAGTTGCCCCAGGGAAGGAAAGTAGGGGAGACAAAGGGATGGCCCTTAGCATCACTCACCTTTCCACAGCCTGGGGGTCCCCAAAGAATGAGCGAGGGGACTTCGTGAGCCTCCAGCAAGGACCGCAAGAGAGTCTCCTTCCCCAACGCCCGGTTCTGCCCCACGTAATCCCCCAGGTGGCTCGGCCGCAGCTTATCCGCCAAAGGCTTCCCTTCCAGTTTTTGGGCTAAGCTCTCCCCGCGCAACGGAGGCTCCGAGGCACCCGGGGCTCGCTCGGGAGTCTCCCCCGGCCGCTCTTCCCCCTTCCCGGGGTTTGGAGAGGTAGCAGCACCCCGGGGCGCCCCCGCTGGGGACCCTCCGGGATTCCTTCCCCGGTGAAAAAGGGGGAAGACCGGGGGAGAACCGAGGTCGTTCCCCGGCTGCTCCTCTCCTTGGTTTCTCCGCTCCGGAGATCGGGAGAGCCGGATTTTCTTCGAGGAGGGCTGCTGGGGGTTTGGGGGCGCCGCCGCTGCTCCTGCTGGGGGTTTGGGGGCGCTGTGGCTCCTGCCTCCGACCTCTGCGGTGAACAGGTCTTCCCCTTCGCCCTGCAGCTGCAAGCAGCTGTCCAGATGTGAGTTGATGCGCGCAGAGGGCAGCTCCATTAGGCAAACGGGGCAGCTGACCAGCGGCTCTTCCTGCGCGGTGCCTCCTTCCATTTCCCGGCAGGAGGAGGAGGAGGAGGAGAGGGCAGGAGAGTGGGACCCCTAAATCTACCCTAATCGGTGGCTCTTGGGGAAAGGGGCTCCTTGGATCAACCCCTTCCCGACAAAAGCAAAAAAAAACCCAGGGGCGTCGAGCAGGAAAAGTTTGCCTCTGGGCTCCCCCAACAACTACAAGCAACTACAACTTGCTCAAGAAGGAAGAGCAGCAAAACCACCACCTCCTACTCCGGCAGGCTGCTTACAGACCCGCAGGCTTTCGGGAATTGTAGTTCTTCCGCCCGCTTGCAAAAAAAATGACCCAGGACTTAAATTTTTACATGCGACACATTCAATTCTCTCTCTCTCTTTTTATTGCTCGAACTTTAGACCGGCAATTGCTGATAGAGAGAAACGTTACACACGTGCAAACACACACACACACACACACAGACACACACACAGACACACACACAGACACAAAGAGAGAGAGAGAGACAGAGGTGATAGATAGCAAT